TTTCCAAAGATCCTCTGAAAATCCGATCTTTGGAATTTTTTCAAAAGTTGCTTCCGCTTGTGAAAAGTTCTGCTCAAGTCTTGGCTATTAAACAGCGAAAATCGCAGGTCTCTATCTCATTCCTATGAAAAGTTATTCAAAAAGCAACCAGCGGCCCGACCATTTGGAACGGACAGTAGTCCGAATAACTACGACGACAGTGATCTGCTCTTTTATTTCATTTTAACTAAATTATTCTGGTAAAACTAAAATAAGTAACACTTAGTTAGCTAACTTTATACGATCGATTCTTTGTTTACGGTGGAAAATTTTATGGCATAAATCAAGATTAAAATCACCTTTTTACATGTTGAAATGACCATTTCAAATTGAGACGTTTTGTCTTTATTCTAAAGACATCATCAGTCAAGTGATGTACAAAAAATAACTTCTGACATAGAACAGACAATAAAACACGTGTGGACCATAAAATATTTTCCTTTTGTTTTTCACTCTCCTTCTAGATCATATGTAAAATGATTCATCTCAAAAAACATTCAGCATAAAACTCTTTTGTTCTATGTCCACTTGCCAACCCATGAATGGCAATCCTTGAGAAACCTTGCCCATAAAATGCTTGCTAATGTTCTTCTTTTCTTTTTTTCTCTCCTCTCGTCGTCTGCCCAATATAGGTATTAGAACAGCCACAACAGTCATGCTTATAGACTACTCTATTCTCATTGATCGTGTTCTTAAACGTTCGTCCAAACACAGAAGAGAGAGTGTATCCTGCTTTAAAGCCGAAAGTCACCATTTTCATCGGGTGAGAAAGAAGCTTTTTCAATTGATTTGCCAGGATTAATGAGCGTTCTCCATAATAAGGCATAGAGAAATAGTATCGTTTTACATTAGGCTGAATAGGTTTTCGTACAGTCTTGTTTAATCTAATTCCTCGTATCGTCTTCTTTACTATGTTCAAAATGGTTATCCGTTGAACAAAACACAGGATGAAACAGTTCGGGAATTTTTGGTAAACCAGGTCAGACGAGATGGGACGGGACGGGACTGCAAAATAAATAGGTACTTAGCATGGATATTTCACTGATGCGCTTGAAACAGGCCAAAAGTGTCTTAATCGATTCAGTTGAAACTAGGTAGTTAGTATATCTATGATCTTTCCTGGCTGTAACTAAAACTTCTTTTGATATTCTGAATACGAGTGCGCACAGCTTTGTTTTCATGAACTTCGATAGATTTTCGGGTGCTTCCCTAGCTATTGCCGTATTTATCGGCAGACAAAATTTAATAAGTGAATTGCCGCTTTCGGGCCACTAGAAAAAGAGGCAAACCAGAGGAGTGGTGTCTTATACGCGCATTATTATGCATGATAATATTATCTCATGGTTCAACCATATTGGGTGTGGGTGAGAGGACAGACGCACCCACACTCGGACCCTCATACCACCACCACCCATATACACCCCAATACGGATTTGCTACCCATAGAGATCTCGTTATCATCATATAGTTAATTCTTCAAATTATCATAGGTAGAAAAGCAGCCTTATCGTCCACTGTCCTTTCAACTGGAACCTACCATAAGTTTCACTTTTGACGTGATTCTTTTTCGATTCCTATTCTCGTGACTACAAGTAAACGAACAACATAAAGATACTATGGTCGCGATATAGTTGACATAGACTTATTCTAGATATATATTCTCCAAACCAATCAGAATGGCAAGATGAGAAGTTGTCACACAAAAAGAAGGCATCACGGACACCATGAGAGTAAATATATTGAGCACAATACGTACTTCAATTGATACACATGGATTATCAAATATGTTTGCAATCTGCCGGGAAATTAAAAATTGGCTCGAACAATCTTATGGAAAATACTGGGTGGTAATAATAGGTCCGGTGGGGCAATGGGAGTCTAATTACACTTATTTTGCCAAACGGTATTTGCTCGTCAAAGAAACCGACTTGAAATGGCATATAGAACTTTTTCAACAAACTTCATAGTGCCAGGCAAGATCCATTCTATACATTGCACTACCCTTAAAGGAACGAGGTTGTCAATGTCTAATAACAAGAAAATCATAATGTACTTTTTAAATAAAATAAAATTCATATTTTAAGTGGATTACTTTAAGATGAAAATCCAGCGACAAGAACGCCTTTCGAGCCAACACTCAGTCTTAATAAATATCTCTGACGAGGGAGGTCCATCAACTTATAAATCGTTTTCCAGTCAAAGCCTAATTGACTATAGGTAATCAACCATGCTGAATCCGAATATCAGACTAAAACAACAAACTAAATCTCTAAAAAGGCATGCGACAAACGATGGCTACCAAGATGACAGTTATTATGATAGACAACAAAATTCTAGAATTTTTATTAATTCCAATCAAAATACAAATTCACATTATGACTATGATTTTAGCGGGCAACAGCCTCAGACTACAACTCATTCCATTCAGCTGAATTTTCCTTCTACTACTCATAATGATAATATAATGACAAAAACCAATGAACGAAATGTTAATTCAAGAATTTCACGCCATGCACTTGATTATGCTTCGGTTTATCACTATTCACCATTTAAGATTGAATGTCAACCGAAGTTAAAAGACACAAAACAAGCGGCGAAAGTTGTAAATGATATAATAAAGGCTATAAAAAGCGACTTTTTGTTACAAAATCCAAATTTTAGACAAGCAATTTTATTTGATTTATGGTGGATTGATACTGATGGTTATCTTCATATTGTTATACAAACGACTGAAATTTATGTTTACCTATGCAAAAAACACAGATGGCCAAAAGAAGTTGATGGAATAAAAATATTTCCTTTTCCTCCTGCTCATTTATCACCACAGCATACAGTTATTCTGAAATGGGTATCACTATCATGTACAAGAGATGACATTGAGAGCGAACTGAAAATTAAATTTGAATCTATTTATTCGGTGGAAAATATGAACGGCACGAAAAACGACAAAACGAGACATGTAAAAGTGGAAATTCTAAGTGAATGTGAGTATAATAGTCTATTAAGTAGTGGAAAAATTAACTTACATGGACATCTCTATGAGGTATACGAATTTTTGCCACCACCGAAAGTTCTTATCTGCAATCGTTGTAATCAACGAGGTCACACTAAAAAATAAAAACTGAACAAAAAACACGAATGACACTGAATGAATTATCCAGTGATGATTGGAATGTACTATCTGTTCAAATGACGCTGAAACCATTTTATGAAGGAACAAAATTGCTCAGTGGTTCACATTATACAACAGTTGGTTTGGCGTTTTTTCCAATACATAATATAAAAGAACTTTTACAAGAACCAACACAGGATGATCATACCTTGAATAAATTGAAACAGATGTTGCTGGAACGATTGGATAAGCATTTTGAACACGATAGACAACAATATGAGTTAATTAAAGTAAGATTAAACATGGTTTTATGGAATGTGCTCGATTTTTCTACAGAAAACAAACGCT